GTTGTACTACCTATCGGTACTCTACTTGCATTTGAGCCGATCATTCCATTCCTCTGATTGGCCCAGGATGCGGGATAACAGTAACTTCGACGACATGGATGGTCTTTGCACTTCCTCAACGCTATCGTTCTTTTCCCTACTTTGTTATGAGTTGAAGAAGGACTGTTTCTTAGGACTCCCCGAGAAATCAAAAAAATCTAATACAGATAAAATTTGTTTCCGAATCCGTAGTTGAAAAGTTGTTGAGTTGTAAGGAAATTGAATTTATTTGTATAAATCAAAGTTGAACCCCTAAAGAGAAAGACCGACCGAGAACTAGCTTGCATGAGAGAAAAAGTTGGAAAAGCCTTGTAAAAGGCAACTTGAGGTATTTTAAAGCAGAGAGGAGACGGCTCCGTAGATGACACTGTTTTATGGATGACAGAGCCGATTAGTTCATTTCCTTTTCGGACCGGAACGAATTGAATTGATGCTGAGCAGAAACTCTCCAAGATATGCTTTTTGAGAAGTTTTCAAACTTTATTTAGATGGCGTCCAGGTACGGGTTCATTCAGTCGCCTCATCCTTACACCTTCGCGATAAAGAAGGGCCGAGGAGGTGCAGTGCCATGCGGCGCACTGTCACACTCTTTGTCCGGTGATGGACCCCACATCGAACGATTGGTGAAACGAACCTAACTATCTTAGGAATGCTGCCGTTCTTATAAAAAGTGTCAGATGAGCTGGAATCAAAACCATTCTATATACTGGCATAGGACGAGATTGCTTTCTGAAAGAGTGTAAGAACATTAGCTCTCTTAATTGCTTGTAAATACATCATTTCAAACACTACAGAACATTAGACCCAATCAGCCCATCGTCATCATGAACTGAAGGGTTTCCGATAAAGCCAAGCAGCNGCAGCGCGGGGGAAAGCGAATTCGCCACGGAGTAGTGTTCCTTTTGATGTGAATTCCCTCTATTTTGTGCATTCCTTCCTGAATTTCCTATAAAGTTCAATGACTTCCCTGCGAAGTCTGTCCCGCGGCATTCTTTTCTTTTGCAGTTCTCCAAAGATGAATAACCGGTTATGATCTCTGATGATGAGGTATCTGAAGAAGAGGGAATTTTTCCCTCAAGTTAATTTAACTACACGTCTGCAAGGAGAGAAAAAGCCATTTCGTTGCCGATGTGAGGAGATTGAGTGAAATGTGGACGGGAATTCAGACGGCAGACTGTTTTTCATTGTCTATGAATCGTTTCCGAAAGCGTGATGGCTCATTATAACTCAAAAACCAGGTTCTTATTCGGTTTCACTATCGAACGGAGCTTATTACACGAAACTACTGCAATAACTTTTTACGAATAGCTAGTATCGAAAGTCAGTAACAATTAAGAAGAAACTGGTAAAACCAGATCTTTGCCAACTTATTATAACTGTCGTTTGGTGAAAAAATTGGGTCCCGCTTAAGTAGACCGTAAGTGCAAAACCATTCCACCGTTCCGAAGCCGTTTGAAAAGATTCAGAATCGCCTTCGAATAGCTAATGCTCATTTCCAAACTGGCCGAGTTCTCGCAATTTGTTCTGAAGGAGGGATACATACCATTAAAGGAACAACTCACGATAAAAATGTTCTCTGAGATTTTCCTTAGTATGACTTCGAGGCCCCCTTATACCATACCTGCCATTATAGGGTCGAAAGTTGTCCTGGATAGGGCGCAATAAGGGTCAGAGATAGTATTGTGTGGGTGCCACACCCGTAGTGGACGAGTTTCAACGGCTTGGTAGAGGCCGCACTATTTCAAGGGACTCTCATGAAGGAAGTTTAAACAACTTGTCATAACCCATGGCGACAGTGAAAGGCAGTTCCGGACAATTTCGGCATGATGTACTCATCTCTTCGAGCAATGGGAGCACATTAAATCTCGTCCGGACACCCCTTCCATGTCATTTCTGTCATGGTATCTCGTACAACCTCCACCTCCACTACTTTTTAAAAGCCTCAGAGTAGGCGGGGTTTCTCGCTTTCTTTCCCACCGATGTACTCCCCTACATCAACACTTCCGCTTTTCAACCTAAAAAGGACACCTCAGAATTATCGGAAACTTTGCCTCAATAGGGCCTGAGCCATAATATTTAATGGGTGCTACATTCATGGCGCGTCCCACGAGACTAATATCGTTGATCGTAATACTCTTCGACCTCTTGTCCTTCATTCTGTCGATTCAGTTCAATCTTAGAGAAGTTACAGAAGGTAAAACTCAATATTTCAGTGAAAACAAGCATGAATAGGGGTGGAGCCTTGGCGTTTTTCGTTGACGAACGCCTACCTAATTCGTTCTGAGAGATCCGTGAACATTGTTTGGGTGCGGCTCCTGGAAAGTTCAAAAACTTCGACATTTAATTGTTCAATACCTTCTCGTAAGCATTCGATTTTCCAGTTTTCAGTCTAGTTTTTTTCAAAAGTACCGGATCGGTCATTAAATAAGGTGACCAATTAAGCATTTGACTTTCGAGAGTCGTAAAGTGTTCTTGGAGTTGTTTATTGGGTGGCGACTGAAAAGAGCTGTTTCAATATCTGAGGGACAGTAAAAGCTAAATACTAGAACAGAGTAGATTATTCGGGCGATAAATGATCCCGTCTGAGGGATGCGCCCCGCACTCGACTTCCATTTAGAATCGTGTGGCGGATTGGATGCGTATGAGGCGTATACAATGACGCGGTGAATAGCCGATGTACAAGACAGCGCATTTATTCTCCCAGACGAGACTGGTTCCAATGAACCGACCCCTGAGGGATGAAAGGCTTGGTCCAGGATTCGAACCCGTAACCATGCGTGTGTGATAGTGTGTCACTTGCCACTACACCACTTCCCCCAAGCTCAAACTATTCTGCTACAACTTTTTATATGGGTTCCATGGTATGAAACCTTTTTCATGTGTCAAAATTATACATTTTCAGGAGGATGTCTTTTTTGGTCAAGCTCAGAAAATATCATATATATANATGAACCGACCCCTGAGGGATGAAAGGCTTGGTCCAGGATTCGAACCCGTAACCATGCGTGTGTGATAGTGCGTCACTTGTCACTACACCACTTCCGCCCATGGTCAAATTATTCTGCTACAAATTTTTATTTGGGTTCCATGGTATGAAACTACTTTCATGTGTCAAAATTATGCATTTTTAGAAGGATG